TACCACAGGAACAGAAAACCAAATACCATATATTCTCACTTATAAGTGGGAGCTAAATGATAAGAACACATGGACACACAGAGAGAAACAATATACTTTGGGGCCTATCAGAGGGCAGAGGGTGGGAGCAGGGAGAGGATCAGAAAAAATTAACTAATGGGTACTAGGCTTAATGCCTGGGTGACTACATAATCTGTACAACAATCCTCCGTGATACAAGTTTACCTATGTAACAAACCTGCACGTGTACCCCTGAACTTAAAAGTTAAAAAAAGAAGGGCCACCATATTTTTATGGTAGGCAGATAAAATTCACTCCTGACACTGGTTTCCTCTCCCTTCTGGGTGTGGTAGGCAGAATAATAGACACCCAAAGAATGCACATCTAACTTTGAATATATTAGGTTACATAGCAAAATGGAATTAAGGTTGCAAATGAAATTAAGGTTGCTAATCAGCTGACCTCCACATGGGAAGATACCCTGGATTTTCCTGAAGATGGGGGGCAAATATAGTTACAAGTTTCTTCCTAAGTGGAAGAGAGGGACAGGGAAGTCAGAGTTAGACATTTAAAGATGCTACACTGCTGGCTTTGAAGATGGGAGCCATGAGCCAAGGAATGCAGGCAGTCACTAGAAGCTGGAAAAGGCAATGAAACAGATTATCTCTTAGAACATACAGAAGGAACCCAACCCAGTTGATACCTTGATTTTAGCCCACTGAGACCTGTGTCATATTTCTGACCTCCGGAACTATAAGATAGTAAGTGTATGTTGTCTAAGTCACTAAATGTGTGGTAATTTGCTATAGCAGCCATGAGAAGCAAAGTGCTGATGACATTTGAAGAAGGCATACTAATAAAAATCCTAAAGAAAATAACTCCAGCAGGAGAAGGTTGCCTTCTCCTCAAATAGAAACCATGAGGGAAAAAAATGAGTTTGTGGAGTTATGGCTACTTGGGAAAACTAAACAGGTTTTTAATATTAGCTGAGATATTAAAGTACTGAAAAAAACATGTTTGAAAAGAAAAAGTATGCTTTAATTATCAATCTATGTTTTATCAATGTAAGGGCTTATCTAAGGTTAAACTTCACATTCAGGATCCCACTTCTAGGCAACAAACGGATTTCAAAGAAAATTGTGAGATACCGTTGATATAAAGTGTTACTCCAAATGTTTTTACATTTTACAATTTTGTACATTTCTGTTTCCCTGATCCTGTACATTTATGTCTTCCCTTCAGCATTGTGATGGCTAATTTTATGGATGAACTTGACTGGGAAGTTAAGCATTATTTTGCATGTGTCTGTGAGGCTGTTTCTGGATGGGATTAACATTTGAATTTGCAGACTGAGTAAAGCAGATTGCCTTCCCCAATATGGCTGGGCCACATACAATCCTTTGAAGGCCTGAATGGAATGAAAAAGCTGAGTAAGGGATGATTTGTTCTCTCTGCCTGACAGGCTTCTAGCTGGGACAGAGTTCTACTTCTTCAAGATTAAACTCAGAATAGAACGTACCCCATCAGCTCTCCTGGCTGTCCATCTGGCTGAATACAGATCTTGGAATTTTGCCTCCATAATGCATGCTCCAACTCCTTATCATAAATGTCTTTATAGATATTTGTATATTTACATTTATACAAAGAAATTATATATATATATATTAATTCACATAAATATATAAATTATATATAATTATATATAATATTAATTATATATGGCATATTGTATATGTATTTTGTTTCTGTTTTCCTGGAGAACCAGACTAATAAAACTATCAAACATTGTTCTTAGCCGCAACCAATCAACCAACCAACACATAAACAAATTTTTGGCAGATTTAAAGAGAAACAATTTATTAAAAAATTATTATCAGAGATAATTCCATTCTTTGGTGCAGATACAGAGCAATGGCAATTCTCCTGCAGTGCTGGTGGAAATATTAACTGATAAAATCCCATTAGAAAATAGTTTAGAAAAATGTTCTAAAACAGAACAATTCAACTCCTAGATATATATACCCAAAAAGAACACAAAAAATTGTACATCAAAGGAATATGTAAATTAATGTATAAACAATATTCATTACCTGAAATGGCCCCAACCCAAATGTCTATCAAAAATAGACTGGATAAGCAAATTTCAGTATGTTGATATGGTAGAATACCATACAGTTATAAAAATAAAACTTGTTTCACATGGTAACCTAGATGAATCTTATAATGTTGAGCAAAAGAAGCTAAACACACACACAAATGCATACTGAATGATTCTATTTACGTAGAGTTCAAAACACATTTATAGAACTAGAATAACGGTTCCCTTTGTAATGACTGGGAAGAGTATGAAGGAGGCCTCCGGAGTGCTAGTAAAGGTATATCTTGATCTGGTGGTGGTTACATGGCTAATTCACTTCTTGAAAAATAATTGAATTGTATACTTGGGATTTGGCATGCTGTCTGTATCAGTCCATTTTCACAGTGCTATAAAGAAATACCCGAGACTGGGTAATTTATAAAGGAAGGAGGTTTAGTTGACTCACAGTTCCACATGGCTGGGGACACCTCAGAAACTTACAATCATGGCAGAAGGGGAATCAGGCACCTTCTTCACCAGGCAGCAGGAGGGAGGGAGTGTGAACCACTTATAAAACCATCAGATCTCATGAGAACTCACTTACTATCACGAGAACAGCATGGGGGAAACCGTGCCTATGATACAAACACCCTCACTAGGTTCCTTCCTTGACATGTGGGGATTATGGGGATTACAATTCGAGATGAAATTTGGGTGGGGACACAGAGCCAAACCATACCTGAGGGGAGGAGGTTGCAGTGGGCTGAGATCGTGCCACTGCACTCCAGCCTGGGTGAAAGAGTGAAACTCTGTCTCAAAAAAAAAAAAGAGAGAGATTAAGAGGAGAGCTGGATAAAATAAAAATAATAATAATAATTAATGAAAATGAATGAGAAATTTAAGGACAAATAAGACTTGGGAAAAGAAAAAATGTCAGAAACTAAGAATGGCAATAGATTTCTCTGCAACACTGGAGACTAAGAAAATGGAGAAATGCCTTTGAAATTCCATAAAATTTATTTTTTTCAAACTAATATCCTAAACCCAACCTGAAACCAGAATAAAAGATATTTAATATTGTCAGAATTGCCTTGCAGCCTTTCCTGCAGAGCGACTGGAGAACATGCTCTAGCAAAACAAGGAAACGAAATAGAAAGTAGAAGGCATGGGACTCAGGAAATGATGACTGGAACCAAGAGAGGGGTAAAGAAACTCCACAACTTGACAGCAGCTTGGTACCCAGAAAGTAACAAGTCCTAATTCAAGCAGGAGGAACAAGCTCTCCAAAGGTAAGTTGGCTGAAAAAAATATAGACTTGATAAATACATGGTATGATAGATGCCATGGTGAAGTACATGGAAAAACAAAGGGCATACATGTAAAATAATTTAGGCAAAAAAACACAGGGCAATTACTTGTTGCAACTATAGTACACTTCTGAACTCAATAAACAGTACTTTGTCATAACGATATAAACACAGATTATCTCAACTAAAAATAGTGCTAGAACTATATTAAGAGCATGGGATGAGAACACAAAATATCATCTTGGCAATTTTCACATGTTTAATACATTGCTATTAATTCTTAGCACCATATTGCAATATAGATCTCTTGAACTTATTCCACCAAAAAATGGTAAGTATGTGATGTAATGCATATATATGTTCATTAGCTGGATTTAGGCATTCCACAGTGTATACAAATTTCAAAGCATCATGTTGTACACCCATAAATATACATAATTTTTATTTGACAATTTGTTTAATCAAAAATTTTTAAAAGAGAATGGGAGACGGGGTTGAAAATACAGTGAAATTAACATACGAATCATAAAAAAATACTCAATATATGGCAAACAGAACTAATCAGTAAACAAACAGCACTTAAAACACACTGTATAGAAAAACATGGAAATCACAGGAAGAGAGAATTCAAAGCTGTTGACCCTGGAGACTGAATTTTGATGGGCCATCACTGTTTTTTAATATAATTACTTTTCGTATTATTTAATTTATTTTAAAAAACCATGTGTATGTATTAATTTAATAAAACTTTTATAAATTAGTTGTTAAGAAATCAAAACTCTCATATTTATTAAACCATTATCCAATTTGACATAAGAAGTAACCTGTATTGAATGTAAGGTTTTCACATGTTTATACATACACAAATTCACACATGCCGACACACACACACACTTTTAGTGTACTACTTATGTGTGTTAATAGGGATATTTGTAAAAATGTTGCATCTTAAGGGGGTATTATTTTCCCCCATATACATAGTATAAACTGAGCAAATGGATTTGATTCAGAATTTCCCCAGTAGTCATCTCTTCACAAGAAATAATAGTGTTTTCTAAAAACCTGTAAGCTATTTTTTAAATCTCCATATGAATTTCGATTACCCTAGTATGAAATATTTAAAGTGGGAGATTATTATAGAAATGCTACATGACTTTCTCCTATCCAGCAGTGATATTTCAGAATTTTTGCAAAAAAAAAAAAAAATGTATTACACTTAAGTCAGCAAACTAAGTCATCTATTGAATGCAAATGCAACTAAAAGCCTTGTATTCTTCATTTATTCTAGGAGGGCAAACATTCAGCAAGCCTCTGTAATACATCTTAATATCAAAAGCAGACTCGAAAAATTTTTCCTTTCCTTTAGAAAATTAATCCCTCCCCAGTAGATCCTGTGGGTTTTCACACTGTAATTTTGTAAATGTTAGAAAAGCACAGCTGAAAGTCATCAGAAATCTAAAAAGACAACAGTAATGAACAGCAACAATAAACCAATTTAAACAATAAGACAACGTATCAGATCACGTAACTGAAAGCCCAAAGATTAATAAGGTTCAGGGTCAACCTAATACAATGACTCTCCTCTGTTGTCCTTCGATTCTCTTGGGTCCACCCACCTCTCTCTCTCATCTTCATCCTCTGGGTGTTAGCAAGATTATAGAATCAGTCCCAAGTCTCCCATCTCCAAAGGGAGAGACAGGGCAGCAGTTCCACAGCTGTTCCAGAAACTCAGACGCGCTGTCCTTGTATGAACGATGTGTTTCTGATTCTTTGACATTTTAGGACCTTGCTAATTCTGGAGAGACTGCTCTTCCCAAGGTTGCCAATTCCTAGAGATCATAAAGGGCTCTCCTGCAAGCATGCCTTTGATATGCAAACCAAGCAATCCGCAGTCCATACCCATAACCACTTCTCTTATCAAGCTCTCACACTCCAGACCACTATCCACCTGCCCTAGTCACCCCAAGGACCAGGTATCAAACAACTAAGGACAGTCAGTCTCTAAGCCCCACAGCCTGTGGAAATTATCAAAACTAGCCAATCCTTAACCTTCTTACCTTGCCTTGCCTGGTAGGTCCCATAGAACGCACAATATAGGATCTTGGCCACCTTTGGGCAAGAGCTCCTTCTGCCTCTTGACCAACACTAGTCCTTCCTCATGTAGCCCCCATGGGGTGGCATGCCCCTTCTCTTGGGATCTGTGAGTATAACAAACTGTCTTTTTGATGACAGTTGTCTCCTAACCTGCTTATCTCACCATACCTAAATAATAACAAAATCTACACTAGAACATTTTTCCTGCCATAATTGCCAAAAATAGACCACACATCTACCCCAAACCAATCAGTAGCAAAGAAAATAAAATACACTTAGAGATGGGTTTTCCAAAACTGTGTGAAAGGATGCTGTTTCCAAAACTGTGTGAAAGGATGCTATAATAAACTCACAAGGATATGCAGTACAGTATATTTTAGATGTTTTAAGGAAATATAGCGATACTCAACATCTGTGGGACATTACAAAAACTGTTAGCTCAAGGTCATTCACAATTTCAACATGAGATGCTGTCACATTCCTTTCAATGATGATACACTTTTGAGAAGCTGTTTTTTCAGTAGTTGTTTTGATAAAGAGCAAGCATTGCACAAAATCAGTTAGGCTAAGGTAATGAGGGTGGTGATACATGATCTAAGCCCAGGTTTGAGAAGTTTTGAACTGCTAGGTATTTCTTTTGACTCAAAGACATCATAAAAAGTTATCTAGGAGTGCAGTTAAACTATTGTGGAAGACAGTGTGGCGATTCCTCAAGGATCTAGAACTAGAAATACCATTTGACCCAGCAATCCCATTACTGGGCATATACCCAAAGGATTATAAATCATTCTACTATAAAAACACATGCACATGTATGTTTATTGTGGCACTGTTCACAGTAGCAAAGACTTGGAACCAACCCAGATGCCCATCGATGATAAACTGGATTAAGAAAATGTGGCACATATACACCCTGGAATACTACGCAGCCATAAAAAGGATGAGTTCATGTCCTTTGCAGGGACATGGATAAAGCTGGAAACCATCATTCTCAGCAAACTAACACAAGAACAGAAAACCAAACACCGCATGTTCTCACTCATTAAGTGGGAGTTGAAAAAAGAGAATACATAGACACAGGGAGGGAAATGTCACACATCCGGGCCTGTCAGGGGGTGGGGGGCCAGGGGAGGGTTAGCACTGTGAGAAATACCTAATTTCTGTAGATCAAAGAATCTGTAGGTACAGGTAATAACCTGTAGCAGGGTGCAGCAAACCATCATGGCACGTGTATATCTATGTAACAAACCTGCACGTTCTGCACATGTACCCCAGAACTTAAAGTATAATTTTTTTAATAAAAAGTTACTTAGACACTAAATACACAGGGAACCAAGAAGTATGGGAATCTCAGAATTAGAAAAATCAGACCCAAAGGCTGCTAGGGATGAAGTCAGCTTCTTCTCAGGAACCTGGGCTTCATGGTTGATATCTGAAGAAAATTGTGGCTCTGTTAGAAAGGAGGTAGAAGGAAACGCTTATAGAAGTGTTCTGTCTTTGAAATTACTATTATTTCTCTTAAAATCATCAGGTCTGTTTCTTCTGCCAAAGTGTTTCTAAAACACACACACACACACACTTTAACACTTTATACTCATTTTTCAAGTTTTCTTAAACCAGTCTGAAAACTTTTCTATAGGTCAAAAATATTGGTTATCTTTTATTACATGCCAACCACTTGTGAATATGTTCCATTACTTCTAATTCCAGCAATAATCTCAAGAAAACTGAGCCTAGTTAAGATTAAAATCACTTACCTAGCAAATGTTGGTGCAAGACTATCTGGTTCCAAATATGACTTAATGCTTTTACATTTCTGAAGTACTTGTTTGCTTTTTTGCTTCGTGTTTTACCAATTCCTCTGTGAAATGCTCTCTTCCCTTATCCTATGTGACCCCAAACTATTCTGATTGATTCTCCCTTTTAGTCTGTTTTATACTTTCGATTTTAATCTATTATATTAAAAATACCTCCTTTATCTGTTTATATTGTTCTCTTTCTTCCCCATTACCAAATGAAGGTTTTTCTTAAAATGCCTCCCTCAGCCTTTTGCTCTCAGAACTTTCTAAGTCATTTCTGTGCATTTGATTCTCATATTTCTAACATACATCCTATTCCTTTCCATACATCCTACTGGACATTTCCACTTGAATATCTCACTTTTGCTTCAGAATCACCATATCTAAACTGATAACATTACCTACCTTCCCAAAGCAGCACTGGTCTCCAAACTCCCTTTTCATGCCCTCATTATCTAGACTTGAAACCTCAGACTGCACCCTGACCTGTTATTTCCCCCCTTTTCCCCTCCACTGACTGCACTGCCTCTGCCTTACGTGCAGTTCTCTCAGATATTCCTCCAGCTGGCTCCCTCGGTTACTCATTAGGTCTCGGTTCCACTACGACCTCCTCAAAGAGGCTTTCCCCATTCTGCCAGTATAAATAAACCCTCTTCCCATCATTCTCTGTTTCTTGCTCTCTTTTTTACAGCACATGTTACTATTTATCCTTATGCAATATATTTATTTATTGATTGGTATGCCAACTAGACTGCAAGCTCCATGAGGGCAGAAATTTGCCTATCTTGGTCTCCACTGTACCATCAGTATGGAGAGCTATATCTAGCCCAAAGTAGTCCTTTAATATTTGTTGAATGAATTGATAAATAATTAAGCATATTTTCTTCTATATAAATATGCTTTGTGCATTTTTATTAAAAATATTAGGGGCTATAAAATAAATACACTCATAATATATAAAATAAAATGAAAATTGCACTCAACGCCCCCTTGCCTTGCTCTCTCCCCCAATTCAACCTCACTGTGGGTTCACTAAGCCTCCTCTTAGAATCAACATTTTTTCTCTTTATGTTTTTTCTTTATAACTTTTATCTCTCTTAATTTTATTGTTAATTTCATTGTAAATTATAGATTGTTTAATTTATAGTTGATTGAATATTTCTTCTATTTTCTCATTTATTAATAGAGAAAAAAAGGTTAAAACTTCTATCTACTTCTAGGGTCCATAACAAGCAGGTATAATTGTGTCATGACTCCCAAAATAGGTGTTAATTCCTACATTCACAGGGACCATGTGGACCACAGTTTAATTTCCCTACAAATTATAATAAACATTTTTATAGATAGATACAGATGGTACAGATCTAGATTGATAGCACTAACCTATACCTGTTGAAAAAGTAACAGAATTTAATTCATATTTCTTTTTTTAGGGTCCTTCAATTCTTTGAATTACTATGTTCTATTATTCTTTTCTGCTTTCCAACATTATTTTAATAAATATAAATGAAACATTCCAAGTGTGATTTTAAATCATACATAGAAAAACTTTAGTGATAATCTACCTCTGCCTAAACTGATAAGGTTGTCTTTTATCAAAATAGTTTTCTGGTTATAGTCTTGTCTTTGAACTGCCGCCATTTTAACATTCTCCCAGTGATTGAATGTCTGTTTGAAGACTACTTTGCAGAAAAATAAATTTGTTTTTCTCACCTCACACTTACTGCTAACTAGGTGAACGGAAGCTGGGCATGATACTAGAAAGTAGAGGTAATCATTTGGTTTTTATAAATCTTCCAAAATGCACTTCATTCTGGTTATGGCTTAGTAGAGTCTCCTATCAGTGCTATCATAAATGTGAAAAATGAAATAATTAAATATTATTAGTTATTTTTGCAGTACAAAAATAGATACTACCCAATTTCAGAGCTCCTAGGCTTCCTGACTTCCTAGTGAATGCAGACGCTTTTTAACGCCAACATTTGTGGAATGAAAATGTTGAAGGAGGGTTCTCTTTCAAGCTTTAACAAAGCCCAAATTTCAGTAAAATAAAAGCTAATGTCACTTTATTAATTATACATAATTCATATTATCAGCTTCTAATATAAACTTTGAAGAAGTCAAATATCACCAGCTTACTCTTTAACCCTATCTGTGCCCTTTTTAATTAATTATGTCTTTAAAATACTGACCTCCAAAACTAACATGATTCTTTCAGGATTCTTCTGTACTGATCAGGGAATTAGGCTTTGTATTTTTCATAATATAAAAGAAGAAAATGAACTTTGAGGTGAAAAAGGTCATATTTTTAATCCTCTCCTTTCCATTTAACAAGGCATTAATCAATTAACCTCTATGAAATACACTAATGTCCTTCATATGTAAAAGTGTGGACAACACCCAGCTTCAATGGTTTGTGTGAGAATTATGTAAAACATTCATGACATGGGAAAGCAGCCAGCATTACCCGGTACTCAGTAGACATGCCGTAAGTATATCATGCTTGAAGGGATCACTGTCACAAAATGTGAAATGAGGTTATGACATAGAGCTTCTTTAGAGGTTACAAAATAGCATAAAGCCAAATGTAAACCTTTGTATGCCTTTATCTATGCATTTAATTTAGTCTAAAAGCATTTACTATGTCTCTTACGCGTGCAAGTCTGGGTTCTAGGTGCTAGGATCCCAAGATATCCATTTACTGATTTCAAGGGGAAGAAAAGTAGTTGTAGGAATAAATGTGTAAAAATAAAATCACAAGAAAATGCAATAAGAATGTTTATCTAGATACTTTATGAAATTGACCAGATATTTTGGTTTTATGTGGATGTAGCCATGTCCATCTTTCTAATTGAAAATTCACTTAATCTAGGTATAGATTATGCAAACTGTTGGTTCTCTAATTGGGCTCCTAAGTCAGTATCACTCTAGGGAACTACTAAAAGGATGAGAAGATGGGAATCTGGTTCATCACTCCTCACCCTGTTCTAAAACAAGCAGAGCTGTCCTGACTTTAGCATCTTTACATAATGGGGTTCAATTCAACAGTTTATTAATTTAAAAGTTGTCCAGAGCAAACGAATAAATAAATAAAG